AATGAGGAGGAGTATCGATATAACTGAGTTACTTCAGGTCCGACACGGCTCAAAATAGCAAATTATTGTAGCATGGTATTTACAAAGAGTTACTGCTTGAATGACTAAGGGAAACAGACCGCATCAAAGACGGTTTCTTTCTTTTCAATATGCCCCTGCGTGACGTCTGTTTTTATTTTAGTGGCGATATTAAGCCCAAAAAATGCGCAATTTAATTGCATAATTAATTCACGGCTCAAGTACCATTTGGTTTCGCTTGCTGCCTTCACAATCCATAGGTAATTGCCCAGGGGTGGGTAGCTCAGTGGAGTATTTTCTTCGTGAGTAGCCAGTTCCAGGTGTTCAGTTGAGCGGAGAATGGTGCGAGTAGATAGCAGAGAGAAAATAACAAGAGGAATCGAAAGAGAAATCAATGTATCAATTGCACGATGACGACAGCGTTGTACTTTCAGGGTATTCGACCTACTCAGCTTATTCACCCGCAGCCGTTAATCATGTATTTCTTCTTTACTATTTTAAATAAATTATTTTTGTAACCTGCAGGTGGAAATAATGTCTACGACAGGAATTTTTTTGCCAGCACTTAATTACCTATATACTATAAAAGTTCACCCAAACCTAACGTTTTTCGCATGTACAGTTATTTGAGAAAACGTATGCAGGAGAGCCTCATACTGTTTTGAAATTCATTTAGACATTACTATGCAAAACAACTACCGTTATGGCTGAATAATGCCGACACGCTCAATGGAAGTCAAATAAACTTGAAGAAACAGGAGCACATCGCTTACATTCTTTAGCGTTTGGATGTTATCATTTTCTTACATTTAGTCCCTACATTTAGACGATCTATGAACAGTATCTTCATAAATTACCTCACGTACACCTCATTCCAAGAAGGATCATGTACATTTATGATGATTCAAGCTCAATAAAATGAACGATTGCTCCAGGCTAAAATTTATTTAAACTTTGTGTTAAGAAACAGCCCGTTTTAAACACCGCGGAAAGTTGACAAAAATACTCAACGCATGGTTACAAAGAGGTATTATTATCGCTGCGAAAAAGGTTGTCAGTCGACGTCGTTGAACAATTTTCAAAGTTTCAAACATCAGATGATATACCTTTCTACCCTAAAATCAGTGTAAAATGCTTCAAGCGTGGAACAGCATCCACCCGGATTGTTAGTGCAGTGCTTTCTCTTAATATCTAAAGGAACGATTTTTTTAGTACAATTAGACACCCGATTTCTATACTTTCATTGTTGATGTAAATAATGTACTTACTTTTTGGGATTTCACTCAGTCTTATTGCAAGCTGTTAACGAGAGCGTCTGCTTGAATGACGAAGGAAATACCGTGTGAATATGAAAGCGAATGTTTAAACATGCCACGAGGTGACATCATATTCCGCACCACCAAAAATGCGCATATTCTGCAGCACACACGATATCCATGGGTCATAGTCAGGGCGGGGGGTGGGGAGGAAGAGGGGGTAAATTGGCCTATTCAGTATTCGCGTTGGACCTAAGGACTACACGCACAAAAACGCTATATAGCCCAAAAATCACTGAATAATTTTTGTATCCTAAAACTAAACACCACCTTTTAGTTATTATATCATACATTCATGTGTATCACGTTGACTGTCTGAGTTACTATAGAATTGAATAAGAACGAATGCGCTATTGAAAAACATAGCGTAGTTCAACTGTCCTCGACTTCCAAAATGAATCTCGTCTCGTTTAAGACTGATGGAAAAGTGACCCAAAATAACCAGTACTAACCAAAATTTCAGTCAAACCTTCCCCCCCCCCTCGAAGATACTTATAACCCTCTAACGGGCAAGGATTTTCTTTCCACAAAAGCTTCTTCTGCAGGGCGCGCGGAGGCTGGGGAGAAAGGAGAACACGCTTGGCTCGGAACTACGAAAAAGAACTAAAGAACTGCAAAAAGAAAACTTCATTGTCGAGTTTTTACTAACTTTGCAGATATGATATGGCTACCATTACCAAAATAAAATGTACTGGTTTGTTAGCTAGGATGCGCACTTTCATTCCCTAGGTTTTGATTTAATATTTTAAGGTTACCGGGAATTTTGAGAAACGGACCAGCTTCTCTAATCATAGGAAGCCCACACAACCTGTATGTTTGACCGTTTGTAAGTATCTCCATGTTATGAACATGTCATGAGCATTCTGCCTATGATGTTAGATTGGTATCGATTGTTTCGTACCCTAAGGACACCCGAGACGATACAGAGGAATATCAAACGAAGAATTATCCTCGCAGTTGTGAACGGAATCTATGCAATTGCGTAAAAAGAAAAAAAGGACTTCAACGGGAGACATGGAAACCGGAGCCAAAGACTTCAGTTCTACTCACGGGTTTCGGTAGCTCAATGGTAGGGATCGTCCCCCATGGTATCAGAGGTGTTCCAATAATCGTCTTGATCGCCTGAACACATTTTAGAATATTTTAAGATGTCTTTCGGGCGATAGACTGATCACGATAATTAAGTTTATTTGTAATACAACCAAATGTTTCTATATGTGAAAAGTGCCTCAGATGGGTTTACTTGGTTAAAACCTATTCCTTTTTGCCGTTCTCGCTGACGTCGTCTTAGTCGTTGTCGTTGTCGTCGTCCCCTACTAGGGGCTTTAAGATCTAAGGACGCGACCGCAACGAGAACGTCAAAAAAAAACAACAACAACAACTTTACAACTTTGCACGTGCATCACACTTTTTGTGCATTTCATTGCCGTTTCTGCTCGACTACGACGTGAAAATTCCTAATTTCGCGTTTTATGGGGAACGTAAACAAGCAACGACGAAATTTTATTTCTCTTTCTGTACGTGGATATGGTCCCTTAGAATTCAACTTCAGGAGGGTTCGCCTACATTCGACAAAGTAGGTGGGTAGGAATAATCGCGATAAAGACTGAAATAACGCAGATTCACTCTTTTTAAGCGACGTTCTCGTTGCCGTCGCGTCGTTGGATCTTTAACTCCCTACTGTGTGTCGCAAAACGTCGGCGAAGATAAGTGTCGGTCCTCATCTTGTCAAAAAATGGCTGCTTTGCTAAAGTTTTACTACACTCTTCTAAACATCTAAGGAAAAACTACAAGTGCCCAAAGATGTTTCATTTGAGGGATTACAGAAAAGGTTTCATATTTACCCACAATGTTGAAAAACATACATATACACATAGAGGTTTAAATCCAGCTAGAGGTTTATATCCAGCTAGTTTACAGGCACGCCACCCAAATACTTAGAAACAAATAATTCAAATACAACATAAAGAGATTAAAAAACCCAACTGGCGGGAGGCATCGACTTAATACAGATACAAAGGGGACATGCCCCAGTGCCCGTATTATCTAGGTGTCCGTATCAAGCCGTTTTATTATAGAAAAAATATGAGCTTTTTGTGGAACAAACACGTATTAAACGGGTGTCCATAGAGCGGGGTCCACTGTATTTTTATTTGATCAGGCAGTAGGATGAATATTTCGGAAGTGCAGGGGTACTTTTAAAAAACCGCTTGTTGAAACTAGGGGTACAAGGCCAGCATAAATTTTTAACTTTAACAGCTTTTATTGAAAAAAAGAAAAGAAAAGAAAACGAAGAAAAACAGAAAGATAAACAGATTTCAGCTACTAGAAGCAAAGCAGAAATAAATTAAATTCAAAACCGTTCTGAAAAGGCATAACATTGTAGATTTTACTAACATCAGAAGGTGGTGAAATTTAAAGGATTTGTGTTTGAGTCTCTTTAGTGTCCAATTGCAAATATTTGCTTTTTCCACGTTTATAGCTTTTTCTTCCTATTTACAAATAATAAATCTAGCATGGACCAAGGCGAACAGAGAAATGTTTAATTCATTAAACTAGCAAAGCTTTTTTGTGAAACTTGAAATTGCAAATTTTAAGTGGCATTTGTGTAATGACATATAAATGGGAGATTCGTTACTGAGTTAAGTAATGATGTTGTGTCCTTTCGGAACGGTTTTGTGTTGTTTAATTTCCGTCGGCTCTGCTTCTTGGAGCTGCAATATGTTTATTTTTCCTGTCACGATTAAATGCGAGTCGAAATTGTTTAGTAAAGTCGAACAAATCAGTAAGAATTGGATAGAGTGCTAAACTGGTACGGGCTGGATAAGAGCTGTTTCAATTTCACTCACATGGCCTACGTGTAATCAGGCTCTAAAGGTGAATGATATGCTTTTGGCTATTTTCATTTACTGACTCCAACTGACACACAAACGATGACATAAACGTTGACATTAACTGAAAAGGCGTCACTTAGGAGAAGGCCTTCGAATGTGTCTATATTTAATTTCAGCTGTATTCTTCGATATTTGAAATAAAAATGGTCACGTGTAAAGATATTACTTTCATTTGTGTCCTTTGTTTCAAAAGGCTGATACTTTCTTTTGAAATATAAGACCGGTTTTTCAATGAAAATGAAATCTGAGATAGTTCGGTGGTAACGGTGAGTGACTGATGAGTAAGATTGTACTAAATAACCTTAATAAAAGCAATTTTTTAGTTCATTGTTTATCAAATCCATTTTTAAATTCATTTTTAATTACCGACGACGAACTTAAACAGAGTAAAAGAGGTATAAGTAACATAAGAAACTAAAGTGAAGAAGTTATGTTTTTCGTCTAAAACGAAACGCGGCGAAAAGGCTTGCAATTATGACGGTAAATTAATTTTCGAAGTGATATCCTTTCGCTTTTTTTTTCCTTTTTTTTATTACAGGACCGTCGAGAGAAACCTAGTTTATTAAAAACACTGCTTAATTGTACTTTATCGTCATTTTACTTCAATTTTGACTGAAATGCGAAACTGTTTGCTTAAAAATCGTGATGTACGAAGTAAGGACAAACAAAGGACAAACTGAAGTATTACCCATTTTAACTTAAGTACACTTACATTTCGCTTCATTTATTTTTTTTTTCAGAGACTGGTCCGCCGACATTAATCTCGAAAAAAATGTTGATCCACGTAAGCTTCCTTGTGATATTCATGTTAAGCTGGATCGAGCCTGCACACGAACAAGCTGTTCATCCGTTTCTTTACTTTTCATCCCAAGATGTCCATCGTTTACGAGAGAAAGCCAAAACGACCCATCGCGATATATTTGTTCGCTTGAGAACAGCAGCTCGTAGAATGAGAGCTGAACCATCGCGCTTTCTTCCACCAACCAACTGGAGCGTGTTTGCCAGTAGATGGAACGAAGATCATGGCAATAACTTTGCGGCCTTAGCCATGTACGTTGTTTTAAACCCCACGGACGTCCAAGCAAGGAACGTAGCAATGCAGTTCTTTAATGCATTTGTCTCTTTGCCTAACTGGCGTGTCAGTGCTTCAATAAGGGATGACGTCCCTGTGGCACACAGCTTGGTTGTTATGGCAACCGCTTACGATTTTCTTTTCGAACACTTGAAGGAAGACCTTCGAATAAAAGCCCTTGCAAAGATTTCAGATGTCACAAAAGAAGTTTACGAGAGATCTTCCAAACTCGCTTGGGGAAAACAGTACATTCAGAATCATGTTGCTACTAATTACGTTGCACTTTTTACAGGTGCATTAGTGGTCGAACCCCACATCAAAGAAGCGAAAGTTTGGAAAGAAAGAGCTAATTTTATGCTGAGGAGAACCATGTTTCTTCTTGATCAAATCGTCGATGGGTCTATGGAAGAGGGCGTGGCTTATGGCTCATACACCACGCGATCACTGACTCAGTATATTTTCTTGGCTAAGAGACATCTCGGAACTGATTTGACAAACAACATCTGGTTGCGAGAACACTTTTGGTTCTTATACCACACAATTCTTCCAAGTTTTACAGAAACTGTTGGTATTGCCGACTCAAACAAAAACTGGTTTTACGGACCCGAAAGCCAGCTTGTTTTCTTAGATAGTCACGTTATTCGAAATGGGTATGGCAACTGGCTTGCCAAAAAAATCCGCATGTTACGTGTTGAGAATTCTACAATGGAAGGAGCCTTCGCGCAACGTTTTTGCACACTTCACACGGAGTTTATTTTCTATAATGCAAGCATTCCAGAAAAGGAACCTCCTAATACTTCAACTCCTCAACTTCATGTTTTTGACGACTGGGGTGTTGTGACCTATGGAGGCGGATCTTTGGGAAAAGGCCGCGAAAAAATTACATTTCTTTCTTTAAAATCAAGCGTTTTGCACGGAAGAACCATAAATGGCATTGTAAGACATAAGCAATATGACTGGATATCAGGATGGCGTAATTTCAACCCAGGACATGAACATCCAGATCAAGGTTCCTTTGTTTTTGTACCTTACGGTGTACCGTTCATTACCGAGGCCCTTTATGGACCCAAATACACATGGCTCAATAACGCTCTGCTATTTGGTCCCACGACGGAAACGACGTGTTCTGGGCCTTTTGAAGGACAAATTGGCGACTGTGGCAAATGGTTAGCTTTCAAAAACGATGCAATCTGGTTCGCTGATGCGGAAATTGTTGCTGCCTCGAATACCAAAGAAATAGTTTTTATTAGTGGCGAGTTTAGTGGTTGGTACAGATCTGAGTTGGCTCTCTCAAGTGTGTATAGATCTATAGTCCTCTTAAATCCTGGAGTTCTTTTGGTCATTGATCATATTGAGAAAACATGGAATAGCTCAACTCGATACGCAGGGGCTTTTTTCCATAATCGACACTCTTCTTTTGAAGTGCAAGAAGACCAAACTGGAGATCAGTTAGCTTCGATAATGTTAAACAACAAGACTCATCTGGTTTTTTGGACAAACGCTCATCAAGGGCAAAGCACCGTTCAATCACAAAGCAGCGAATGGGGGGCAGAAGTCGGTAAAAGGAAAACTCACTTCCTCAATATTACAACTAACTTAGCTGAGAGAAAGACGAGAATAGCATATCTGTTTGTCGCTCCTGGGAATTTGGCAACCAAACCGAAATTGCAGGGAAATAACATCGGAGCTAAGGCAGTTGTAGAAATTAATGGGATCTCGTATACTGTATCCATCTCCACAGACTTTCAAAAACGCTGTGAATTTCTAAGCTACGACGGCATTGCAAGAATGGACGTGGGAAATAAGTCTCCAATTATTTTTAAAAGAAGAAAACGTCTGCATTTTTCTGTCTTTGGAGAAAACTCTTGCAGGGCAAATGTTTCAAAGATGAGTTTTATCATTTTGTTTATATGGTCTACAGCGATTGTTATATTACTGTTAGTGTTCTTAAAATTAAAGTTCCCGTCGGGGGGTATTTAAATGCAACAAGCGCATATGTGGTCCACTGTTCATTTTTGGCATAATATTTATGTCGATTTTTAGAATGTAATAGGCACACATACATTTTCCAAACATTGTTCAATTACGTTTGATGTCCAAAAGCACTGAAATCCATATATACTTTGTGAAAGCCGAAATGTAGTCATACATATAGTGCTTGTCGCCCTTGAGGAATGGTCAACGATCCGTCAAAACCAAGAAATAACAACGTTGTCATTGATTTTCCAGCACGAGATCAACAAAGAAGTACTGATGACGTCACAACAACTCAAGTGGACATAAGCTCCTTTTGAAAAACTAAATTTGTGAAATTAAGGGATTGGTTGGCATATCCAGAAACAAGATGAAAAATGTTCACTTGCCAAAAATCAACCTGTTGGTGAAAATTTGTCAGGCAAATTGGTGAAGCAACGCTATGCGCCGATGAATCCAAATAAGTCATGCAAATCCTTGTAAGATAGGCCTGGATCAGCTAACGTTGCGATCCAAGCCTAGTTTAGAAGGATTTGTATAGAGTCGTCAGAACAAACCACTGCTTATATCTCCTCAACAGTTTGAAACGTGCGGAAAGAGAGTCTAAAATCAAGGTTTCCTCCACCGTTAATTAAATGTAAGAGATATGTTTTCTGCTTTCTCAACGAGCGTTTTAGTGTGAAATTTCCTCCGGTCCGAGTTAGCTTTCCCTTTTTAGCGCTTACTCTCTTTCCAGGTCTGTGCACTGTGCCCCTGATGAGAATGGTTAACCTTCTGAGCAGACTGTAACTTTTAAATTACCATCAGTCTATGTTTCTGAGGCCTACTCTGAGACCTAAAGTCGCCTAAAGTCGCCCTAAGTCGGAAGTTAGAATTTTAAATAATAATGATGATGATGATAATAATAATAATAATAACTATTATTATTATTATTATTATTATTATTATATAATTATTATTATTTTAACAACAACAATTGTTACATTAGTAAGCTCACTAGAACTTAAGAGTGAGTCCATGGGTGCACCAGGCAGGCGTGCTACATGCCATCTCTCCGATTTCGCTGAAACTTGGCCAGTTTAAAGGGTCTACCCCAAAACTCAAAATGACAAACTGGTTTGTAGTTTGGATCTTTATGGTGGGAGATAGCCCACCCAACTAGTTTAATTTGATTTTTTACCAATAAAAGGGCATTAATAACAGGTAAAAGTAGGAAGCTCTCAGGACAACTGTTTTTAACCTTTGACTATGAGGGTTTGTGTATATGTTGATACGTCTTTAATAAATGCAAGAATATAAGTTTCAGTCAATTTGATTGACAGCTTATCAATCACCGGCCTTGAATATGGGACCACCTTTTTAGCCATTCAATTATTTGCTGATTTTGAGATCGAATATCTCTCCTTGCCAGAAAGCTATGACAATAATTTTGTTATTCCCTGCTTAAAAACCCTTTGGTCTATAATAAACACAAAAAAAAATTTCTGGGCGCTGCCTTTTTTTGGCGTCAGATACCAATTGAAAACTACACCTGAAACAGACTTATTTCCACTTCACCTTTCCTACAGTTCAACAGTTAATGGCTGTTTAATTTAATAAACCGACACTTTCTAGCCCGTTGTACAAGAATTGTAATGGAGGAGTTTAATACATGCTTAAAACGATCGAGATTTGGCGAGAAAATTAAAGATTTGACACTGATTATTAATGCATGTCACCAAAATATCGAAGGCAAAATCGTAATCTTTGTGAGCTCGTTTAGAGGTTCTCGCAAAATCAGAGATTATTCTTGTTAGGAGCTAAACTAATAATAAGTCGTCTTATTCAAGTGTTTACTGTCTATTGTCTTTACTGTGAGAAAACCAGGCTGTTCTTAATTTTCTAGGGTAGATTTCAAGGCCACATGGCGCGCGGTTGTTGACAAACTTTGAGTCACGCCAGTACACGCCAGTCATAAAGCAATGTCAACTCGCACATCTAAAAACAACATTAAATGATGAGAAATTCTTCCTTCTAGCGATAAAGAAATTAAGGTCTTAAAAAATTCGTTTAACTTCTGGTTACGACCTCGGAAAAAAAACGGTATTAGAAAGAAGTATCGTGTTATTTTCACTTACCGCCGTCGATATATGCTGCGTGACCAGACAATATTTGTTCAAAATCAACTTCTTTGCCTTCAAGCAAGGCTTTCCGATTGGCCTACTTATCTCTATCACTATATTTGTCTCTTCCTATCGGCATTTTTCGGCAAATACAAGTTGTTCGAAACTCTGTCACTCGATCACTCTCAATCAATATTACGCCCAAGTATTATGTGACCAAAAAAAGAGCCTACAATGTTTTGTTCAGCGAATTTCCCGCGCCTACCCCGGAATCTAAACAATTTTCGGTTGTCTAGAGTGGAAGAAAGAATGAATTTTAAAAAACAAAACATACAAAAAAAAATTAAATTACCTTAAATCATTCATGAATTTACTATCTTTTGATGGCGAAGTCCACACATTTTCACCTGCAAAACAAGTTGTTGTTGCTTTTGAAAGATAACCGAATTATCTTGTTTTATTAGTGAATAACCAAAGTACTATTTTGTAATCGGTATGATTCTGTGAATCTATACAAAACTAACATGTAAATTACTTAAATTCATTTAAAGAAATTCTATTCTTTTGCAAAATTAAGCTTTATTGTACAGGACTGTACCGGCCATGGTACATTTGTACCTCAAATTCCAGACGAGACCAGACAGAATCATGACCTTGCCAGATTGCGCAATCAGTAAAATTGTAACAGCACGTACCTGTCAAATTTCAGACCATGCAATTTATTTGACTAATCGTCCAAGGGGCGTTCTTTTCAACCACGCGTTTGTGCTGTAAAGTCGCAATATGTCTCAGCTTTCCTGTTCATTTGCGATCTTCTGTGGAACGGAATGCGATTTCTCTTCGCGATGGCCCGGACGGCAACAACTTATACCACTAAATTCGTGTGCCGATGGCATAAAGGAACATCTTAGAGATGTAAATGTATCTCAATCGTGCGTTGTATCCGAGAAAAAGCTCATTTTAGCTCGCGTTGGTTTGTTCGAAGATGATGACGGCCTCAATTTCACGATCTGCCCCAAACATCGCGCAGTCCTTGGAGTAAGATTCCGACCACCAAAAAAATGCCAGCATCCTCTTCACGGCAATCGAAAGGGCAAAGGTGACAGAGGCGTCAATCTGAAGACGGCAAAAGAAATCAAGCGAAAGTGGAACACTGTAGTTCCAGTCGGTGCAGGTAATTAAAAAGATTTTATTTTGCATAGGGTGTTGTTACTGACTTGCTTACTTCCTATGCGCACGGCAACTGATATGAAAGGCGGATAGACAAACATACTCAATTGGACCGTGTGACCCGAAACGCATAGATCACGCGTGGAAGGGGAGGATAGGCAAGGAAGGCCTTCCCACGAGGCTTTGGCCAACGTGGGTTAGTCAGACCCGTCCCTAGTCGTCTCTCATTGAACCTCTCCCTACTAGCATAGGCGCGCATGGTTTGATGGGTATGATGTGTCTTGCGAAGTCGACTGGGGACGAGTTAGACCGAGACAACTTCGAAGGTGCTAAGCAACCTACCAAGCTAAGATTGTTACTTCAGCTGTGTTTTTTTTACCTATATGCTGTTAATTTACTATCCATTTTGAAAATTCTGCTATAAGACTTTTAAAAGTGTGTGAAAATGAAATTCGTGTCATCGCAGGCGCCAATAGCTTACTCATCAGTACCAGGGCGCATAGGTGTGATAATAATTCTAGTAACTCGCGGACGAATTTAATTAATTTTTCCTAAATTAAGTAGCCGGGATAACGGGGGCAGCGAGGGGAAAGGGGTTGGTAGTTTATTAATAGGGCACATGTCCAACTTTTTTTTAATTCTAAAAACCCACTGAGTATACTATAAAATGAAGACTTTATATGTAAAAAAATTCCTACTTACTAGGCATATGCAGAAACTGTAGAGGTGCCCACTCTGAATTTATGAAAGAGTGTGAGCCACCCTCTGTGTTGGCTACCTTAACTGAGGGATCCCAAATTTCTGCTACGCAAGAGGAGGAGTTTGTGGGTCACACTCCAGCGACATCAACAGAGCACGTTGCAACAGAGTCAACTGAGCCAGAAGAAGAGGAATTTGTGTTACCACGTTTGCGAGTGCGATTTCAAGATGAGATTTTGAGCGAGGTAGGATTGATGTGCCCCTTAAATATGTTTGAATTGATAAATTTAAAAACTCCAAAAAAGAACTCATAATATATTTAATAATGAGGTTATCATATTTTGTTCTACTTGATTTTTTACCTAATTCGACTGCGTGGTTCATGTAAAAGAGTAATTATAACCGCGTCCTTCCACTCACTCGCAGTTGCATATTTTGTGGATATTGTAGTAAACTATTACGGCAATGGTGGGCGACGAAAGGGGTAACATTATTTCCCGTTCCCTAGCCTGTGCTCGTTCTCGTCACCCCCCAAAGTCGTACTTCATGCTCGTCTCCTAGCAGCCTGCAGTTAACGTCCGCGCTCCGCATAACTGCACTTAGCCTTGTAAAGCCTATGGAAGAGGCAGAAGCAACTCTGACACCGAATGACATGTATTTCTAATTATTTAGGCGCACATTCAATGCATAGGTTCCTTCCTCGCTAAAAAAACTGTTCCTTTTATTATAGCAAAGCGATCCGAATTCAGATATCTTCTCATCGTCCTCCCAAGGCTCGTTGGTAGAGGAAGAGACGTCTAGAGAGTGGCAACCAACACCCCAAGTTGAGCATCAGTTGCAGCACCTCAACAGTTATATCCTTAAGTCAACTGATGGCCGAATCAGTCCAGTCAGGTCGCAATGCAGGTCTGATGTTGTGACTATGTCGTCATCGACGCGGCGCTATTATGGGAAAAAGGCAGAGCAAGTTGTTGATTCCGTGTTGGAGGCTATTGCACCGGGTAATTCATCATGGCTGCTTCAACAGGTGATTGCAAGGAACGAAAGCGGGCGTACTGTATCTGGTGCTGCCGAGGACGACAGCCTGGTCTCTAGACTAGTAACGCTGTATAATGAAGCTAGATCCTGGAACACCCAGCAACAGATTCTCTCCCTCTTTGCTGGTGATTACAGTAAGACAGAACTGCTGCAGCTTGTGCCAGGACTGACAAAGTTTAGGATTGATGAGGCCAGAAAACATGCTTTTCAGACCAAGCCTGGAGAGCCTATAGAGCCGCCAACCATTACCAGAACAAGGCTGGATCCCACTAAAGTCGACCATTTCGTAGATTTTGTATCCAGTCCTTCATTTCTTCAAGACGTTGCATATGGAACGAAAACTCTAAAGCTGTCAAGTGGAGAGAAAATTGACATACCTAACGTGGTGAGAACAGTCATTTCGTCCCGTCTCATCCAGCTGTATCAAGCCTATTGTACAGAATCCGGCTTCACACCCCTTGGAAGATCAACACTTTTCAATATCCTTAAGGTATAGATGGATATAAGGCCATGTGTTAGACGACAATTTTGGTTTTAATAGACGCAAGTTATTCCGTACTGTCTTAAGCTTAGTGTGTGGGAAAGTGTGTGTGTATGTGTGAGTGGAGAAGGCCAGTACAAGCTGCAGATTTTGCTTGGTATGACAAGAGGATTTTTACCCTCTTATTCAAGCAGTACATAATTGACTACAATATACTTTTATACTTCAGGTGTGCGCTGCTTCTCAGAAGAAGTCCTTGGCGGGTTTGGACAGCATGCAAACGGACGGTGTAACTGCAATTTCATCTCTTGAAGTAGTAACTAGCATACTACAGAAAAACGGTAAGACGGAAAATTAGGTGAAGTCTAGCCTTTTGTCTTATTTCCTTGAATATGGGACGCAACGTGTTGGTGTTTTTGTGTTTGGTGGGTGGGCGCACTCAATTGAAGTGAGCTTTTTTAAGAGGGGCGTATGAGAAAGTTCAGAGGAAAGGGAAACAAAAAAAAATGAGTAAGTTGTCAATTGCAGGAACCCTTTTTATGTTTTAAGGTTAATTTTCTAATATATACTTTTCTTCCAAACCACTGAGCATTTCTTTCCTGAGTGCACCTGTGAAATAGTTACAGCCTGGAAAACTGGGCTAGCAAAAAGAAAGGTCAATAAACGAGCTGCATTTCCTAATCGAGTTTGCCTTTTGTACATGCTGCTATCTTTGGTACGTCAAGGGTTTTAGCTAATGGAATTGTATCCATGTAGGTTTTCAAGATGAAGAGGCAAAGGGAATTTTGTCCCGTCTCAAAGCTGGAAAAAGATATGTGTCAACAGACTACAAGCTGCACATCGCTACTGAGACTCCCTGTGCAGACCACTGCAGCATGTATGCACTTAGCAGCAATGAAGCTGAGTACCGCGGGACATGTTCACACCAACACAACATCAACTGTGACCGTTTCAGCGACTTAAGGAATGCTGTTTTAGATATTCAAGTCGCAGTGTCTGAGCTTCAATTAAGGTACTACCTTTTAGACCTCCAGAACAAAATGTTAGAATTTTTCACCAATCTAAACATTTGTCTTTATTTGTAACTGTTATCTCCCTTTCCTTAATTTTCTCAAGCAACGATGAAAAGCGGGAGGAACTTCAGCATGATCTTGAGGCGGCAATCCCAAAACTCGAGATGTAGAAGTCACATGTCATAAGATCTGTACATCAAGATGCCGCCAAGACTGCCGTGGTTGATGCCCTTACCGAAACTGAAGCATTGCTGATCATGAACTGGGCCATGAAGTTTTTACCAACAAGCTACCGAGAGACTCAGCGTGATTGGTTTGGGAAAAAGGGACTACCTTGGCACATAACCGTTGCCATTACCAAAGATGAAAACGAAGAAATTGAGGTACCATTTATATAAATGTTACAATCGAGTTAAAACTATACTTTATTTTCCTTAACAGATATATCGGAAATAAGACCAGATGCTAAAAAACATTTATCTGTCTTTCTGAGGTATAATCGCTGATTAAAACAATCAAAACGTTTGTAAAAGAAGAGATTGTGTTGTATTGTAAAAGACCCATCTTCGGTTCCGGCCACAGCTGTAGGACGTAGTAATTACGATGTGGAATAGTAATTTCATTGCGAACCCTCAGTTTTTATCCACGCAATTTAATGCAATTTCTTTACAAAGATAACTGCTGCTATACAAGCCACAGTGTTACTGAATGTCTGATTTTAATATTTTGTTTGTTTGAGATCAATCGATTTTCTTTTACTCTTTAGACGCGCACCTACGTCCATCTGTTTGATGAGAGCATTCAGAACTGGTTTGCAGTGGCCTCCATTATAGAAAATACGTTAGAAACACTGAAAGCACTGAAGCCAAACCTCAACCAGGTATATCTTAGGTCCGACAACGCCGGCTGTTACCACTGCGCCTACCTTCTTCTGTCGCTCCCCAGTATTGGTGATCGTACCGGAGTCACGATTGCACGATACGACTTCAGTGAGCCGCAGGCTGGTAAAGATATCTGCGATCGTCGCACTGCTGCAATTAAAAGCCACATTCGACGCTTTCTTAATGAAGGAAATGATGTCAAGTCGGCCAATGACATGAAAACCGCCATTGAGTCTTATGGAGGCATCAAGGGCTGCTATGCGGCTGTGTGTCTAGTTCAACCATCTGTGCAGACGATGAGCAAGCATAATATGGCTGGGATACAGTCGCTACATAACTTCTCTTACGAGAATGGAGGCATAAGGGTGTGGCGAGCCTATAACGTGGGTCCTGGAAAGTTTTATAGTGCAGCTCAGTTTGCACGGTTTGGTACTCCCCAAGGTCCTACAAAGCTCGTCATAATTCATCCTTTTGGCAGACCACATGTAGAGGTGGGTACCTATCGCCAGCAACGCGCTATGCCTGCAAGATCTTCGTCTTTGCCTGGGTCACATCAAGAACCTTCTGAATCCGCACAGGCAGACCAGGTAGGAGAGAAGGTTATGTTTCATTGTCAAGAGGAAGGGTGTATCAAGACCTTCCAGTCATTTGCCTCGCTCCAAAGGCACCTGGACATTGGTACGCACATGGTGAGACTGGTAAAGGAGTCCACCTATGACGAGATCAGGCGAAAATGGACGGAGGCATGCCATTCCCTGGGTGGTGGCTATATTCGGGGAGATTCAGCTACTTTCGACTCCAGTGACCAAGCAACGCCTGGCGAAGTCTTGGAGCTAGGATGGGCTCTTCAGAAAAATCGAAAACCGGTAGCCTTTTCCGAGAAAGCGAAGAGCTATTTGGTAGACGTGTTTTGGGACGGGGAGGAAACAGGAAAGAGGGCAAACGCCTCCTTTGTCGCCTCCAGAATGAAGTCTTTGAGAGACGAGAACGGGCAGAAGATGTTCACAAAGACCGACTGGTTGACAGAACAACAGATTGCTCGATACTTTAGCCGACTCTCCGCCCTCAATAAGGCTGGTCGATTACAGAGAACCCACTCTTCCTTAATGAATGAGGAAGAAGAGGCTGATGCCGATGATCTTGTTGTAGAAGCCGAGGCTGTCCGGACAAGGCAGCAGATAAGGAGGGACCTTGAACTTTAATTTTTTAAAAAATTGGTAGGAGTGCAATTACCTTCTTACCTAGTGGCACGAAAGTTTAGTTTTGCGAATTGGCGACTTTTTTGTGTGTGTTTTGAGGGAACTAATTTTTGCAATTAGGACAGGTTTTCTTGCTGACAATTAACTTTTGCTATTTTTTTAAAGAAGTCCCGGGCAAATCAAAGATAATATTTTCTCTTTTATTGAATACATGCAAATGGAAAAAACATTCGTCAACAATTCCACTGTGTGTATACCCCATTTAAAACCAGCAAGACAGATTACTTTTCTGTGGCATTCGATTGCAAAAGCGTACCGCAAAAATTTTATGCCACACGGTAACTCGAACAAACAATGCTCTGGAATGAAGGCCGATAGTACCCAATCAGTGAACGTCGAGTTTATTCGAGGATTGTATTTCAGTTTCTTTTACAAGCCAGGAAAAATGACAGTGTGTTACATCCCAGCAAGAACAAAAATACCTGCATGTTTTACATAAAATTTTTCAAATGATTAAGCCTTGTTGTCAACCTTGATAAGTAGAGTTTCAAAATAAATGCCGCCCTTGAATAAACACAGCATCGGGAACATGAAGTAAACACGGAATATTTAGTAAAAAAAAAGGTCTCGACATTTTTCTTTCAGTTTTGCCTTTTTGGGAGACGAAAGCAAAAACGTAAATATTTATTTTTTGTTGCGGTTTGTTTTGTTTTTTTTTATTTATTGTCTCTTCCTGTCTGGGCAACCGAAAATTGTTTGGAATTGCTATGAAATTTCCGGGGTAGGCGCGGGAAATTCGCTGAACAAAACATTGCAGGCTCTTTTTTTGTCACGTAATACTTGGGCGTATAAATGTTGATCGAGAGTGATAGAACTCTGAAAAACTTGTATTTTAAAAAAATGCAGATAGGACAAAACAAATAAGTCATGAAGATAAGAAGGCCATTCTGAAAGCCTTCCTTGGAGGCAAAGAAGAGGATTTGAAACAAATATTGTCTGGTCACGCAGCATACATTAGTTCGGCGTAGATCGACGGCGACCCGACGGCGGTAAGCGAAAATAACACCATTGTTCCTTCTAATATTCTTCTTTTTCCGAGTTCGTAACCAGAAGTTAAATAAATTTTAAGAGCTTAATTTCTTTATCACTAGAAGGAAGAATTTCTCATCATTATGTTGTTTTTAGATGTGCGAGTTGACATTGCTTTATGACTGGCGTGACTCAAAGTTTGTCAACAACCGCGCGCCATGTGGCCTTGAAATCTACCCTAGGAAATTAAGAACAGCCTGGTTTTCTCACAGTAAAGACAATAGACAGTAAACACTTGAATAAGACGACTTATTATTAGTTTAACTCCTAACAAGAATAATCTCTGATTTTGCGAGAACCTCTAAACGAGCTCACAAAGATTACGATTTTGCTTTCGATATTTTGGTGACAGGCATTACTACTCAGTGTGAAGTCTTTAATTTTCTCGCCAAATGTAGATCGTCTTAAGCATGTATTAAACTCTTCAATTACTAATCTTGTAAAATGGGCTAGAAAATGTCGGTTTATTAGCTTGAGCAGCCGTTAATCCTTGAATTACAGGAAAGATGAAGTGGAAATAAACCTATTCTAGGTGTAGTTTTCAGTTGGTATCTGACGCCCAAAAAAGGCAGAGCCCAGAAATTTTTTTTATGTTTATTATAGTCCAAAGGGTTGTTAAGCAGGGAATAACAAAATTATTGTCATAGCTTTCTGGCAAGGAGAGATATTCGATCTCAAAATCAGCAAATAATTGAATGGCTAAAAAGGTGGTCCCATATTCAAGGCCGGTGATTGACAAGCTGTCAATCAAATTGACTGAAACTTATATTCTTGCATTTATTAAAGACGTATCAACATATACACAAACCCTCATAGTCAAAGGTTAAAAACAGTTGTCCTGAGAGCTTCCTACTTTTACCTGTTATTAATGCCCTTTTATTGCATTGGTAATTAATCAAATTAAACTAGTTGGGTGGGCTATCTCCCACCATAAAGATCCAAACTACAAACCAGTTTGTCATTTTGAGTTTTGGGGTAGACCCTTTAAACTGGCCAAGTTTCAGGGAAATCGGAGAGATGGCATGTAGCACACCTGCGTGGTGCACCCATGGACTCACTCTTAATAACAATGTACCATAGCCATTTCTTGATTAAGTTCTTGTATCGTTGCTAAATGAGTGTTTACCACTTACTTTTTGCTACACATTCATATTAACAAAAATCTAACGCAGCTACATGTAGTTTACGCTCAATGAACCAATGTGGGATCATTTAACTACTGTACTGGCGTGGTTATTGACCTGTTGTGTAGTTATTGAAGGAAAAAAAAACTCCTCACCGATTTGCACTAACAGCTAAAGAGGCTGATGCTTAGCAAGAGGGCTTTTTCATCTTGTTCTTTCTGAATTTGCCATCCAATCCCATAATTTCACAAATTTGACTTTGTGTGACGTCAAGTTCTCTTCTCTACTCAAACTGCCTTTTTGTTAGAGAAACTGTACTTCGCTAGTCATCAAATACAGGTAAAGACAAAGCACGGACTCACTGGAACCTGTGACCCTCATCGGTGGCTGACTTCTACTATTTATTGAAGGCCCCGTCCACACGTATTCCGATATTTTTGAAAACGGAATTTTTTTTTGGCGTCGTTATAGCCTTCCGTCCACACGTAAACAGCGTTTTTGGGCACCAAAATGGGCAGGTTTTTAAACGCGGGGCCTCAGAGATGAGATTTTTGAAAACGCTGGCTTCTCGTTTACGCATGCTCTGTAAGGGATGCTGTCTTATTTCCCTCCTTTTAGCGTTTTCAAGTGGATACGCAAATATGCAACATGCAATATGTGGATTTGAATATTTTTTTGAAAACAGCAAAAAATCTCCGTTTTCAAAAATATCCGGACATGAGTGGACAGGCCTCAGGTTTGGCCGTACACTAAAAACTGTATTCTAATATAATCAAAGAATGAAGACAGTGTCTCTGCTTCCTTCAAGGAAATGTCTAAACGGTTCCAAATATTACAGCTAAACTTTACTAACGACCAGTGAACCCAACGTCTTGTGGCACTGGATTTGCGAATGCCATTTCTTGACCGTTTATAATAATCATGAAAATCACCGTTGAATAAAAATAGCTTGATGTTCCATTCTACGCCGTAATAAAGGCTTCCTAATAAGTCTCTCAAGTGCCTTGGATACAATAATTCGGGCTGCCTTATTTTGCATTACTTTTAGATCAGACATCACGGCATTTCCCGATGACCCCAAATGATATCTCCATAGTGAAAAAGAGGTAAGATAAAACTATTAAAAAAAATAATCCTAGCGATGAGGGGGAGGCAAGGTTTAATACGCTTTAAGAGACCGAACTTTTTGCTGATCTTATCACAAATTTAATCAATGTGGTCATTCCAGGTTAACTGGTTGTTGATCACAATACCCAGGTACGTATAAGAGTCTGGATTATCGAGAGGGACATCATGAGCAGAAATATGAATGGACCCTACTTTACCTAGGCGGGAACTGTTACCAATAAGCGAAAAATTAGATTTAATTCTTGACATTCAGGATGAGCTGGTTAGCCAGAAACCATTTGCATATACGCCCCAAGTCAGCATTAATCTTGCGTTGTAAGTCCGCGGCAGATTTGGAGGCAAGTTATAGAACAGTATCATCCGCATATCAAGTTACTTGGCAGAACTACAAAACATGTGGTCGATAATTAATGTAATTTTTGAATAATTTTGGGCCTAATATACAACCATGCTCAAAGCCAATCGAAACAGGGGCAATTTCAGAGCATACATCATTACAGTTGGTCAAACGATTTACAAATAATTTAATGTTCCGCTAAACAACAAACATAAAGAGCTGTAGATTGGTGGATTTCCAGAAGCAGTCTAAAAGGTTCAAGGCGTTATAGGAAATCACAAGGAGTAATGGCATAAAAGAAAATCCCGAGGTCACGGGTTCAAAAGATAGGTATTGGCGTTAAAATTTTTTCCTTGAAAACACAAGACGCGTGTCTGAATATGAATTTGACCCACTTATCCTTGAAAACGGGATTCCCCAAGCTAAGGTACTTGATGTCGGTGCGAACAGGTCCAGGACGACCTATAATATAATGCTTTCCTATCATTCGTGCTCTTTCGTTATTCTGAGGAATGAAAAGTTATTTCTTTTGCGTTAAAACGAGCATAAATTCAAAATATCAATTAAAAAGGCAGATCTACATCATAACATTAAATAGCCTTTGCATCAGTTAGTCTTTTTAATTTTAACCTAGTATGTATTTTTTTAAAACAGGCAACGGGATTCGGGAAAGCGATAACAAAAGAGCGGGGCAAGGAATTTTCCCAAAAAAAGGAGCGGGAATGCGGGATCAGCCATACCCCCCCCCCCCCCCCCCCCCCCCCCTTCCCCTTCCAAATCCTAAGATACTAAAGTCTGAAAAGACAAGTCACTTTTAGCTTTATCCCTCGGCACGTACCGGGTAATTAAATGCCGCGTTACGCAGAAGCTTCTAGAAGCTTACCTTTTCACCAGACGAAGGACCCTTTCGAACTGAAAATTTGTAACATAACAAAACGTATAACATAACGTATTTATTCAAGTTGAGGAAACTAAAAATTATAAAAAATCTTGAAAAGACTGACCCTGTGATGTTTCCCTAAATAAAAAGATAAAAACAGACATATGCTACGTACAATATAAAATATAAACAGACATTTAAAAACTATTTATAAGAGATAAATTGGATCACTAATGATTAATAATAACAATAGATGAAGAAGACAAACAAATAATGGATATTTAGGAAACGCTTCAGCGCACTCTTAAAACGGCTCAGGCTCCTTGCCTCAACAATAGATCTTGGTAGACTATTCCAGTCCCGTACGATTCGGATACGAAAAAAATATTATGGATTACACTTTTATGTAAAATAATGAGTTTAGCTGTTTTCATACGTCATGAAAGTAAAAACGCAGAAGAATTTAAAACAATTCTTTAGACTGGCTTATGATAACGTCAGTCGTTTCACACCCAGCAATGCCACGATAATAAACAGAGATCTTAAAAGTTTCCAAAAGGAAAAGGGAAGAGGTTAAGAAGTTCTGATGCCAGGAAGGGATGCCATTTTTTCCAGTAACGTATAGAAGGTCAAGTGAATGCCCGAAGTTATGTGTTTTGAATGGACAATTGGATCTAGCTGCCGGGGTGTACTCCCTTATATGGCGGGGATATGTGGCCGGACAGAGTATGGGTCTTTACCTCTGTGTCCTTTACAGGGTATATAAATTCGTGTGAGTTTGTCAGCCTGCACGATTGATTTGCTTGATGAATTTTGTTTGTATTCCAAGTATACAAAAGCAATGACTATAACGCGACGTAACGTGAATTTGCTCTATTGCAATTGCCAAATGGATTTAAAACAAGACGGTGTGCATTTGTCCTTTGTCCTGAACAGGGTAATAAAATTGAGGGCGTTGTCCTAAACAGGTTGTTGTTTCAGGAATTTTTTGTCCTAAACAGGGTCAGGGTTTCAAGCCCTCAGCGGCTCACCTATACCCAAATATTGGTCGAGTACCCCTCCCCCTAGCCTGCGAATACAGCCGTTTCTCCTTCCGCCTCACCGCTAAGGACGTTTCGCCAGGAGAAGCCTGTGTGACTCAGCGACATAAATTCCTCACCGATGACGTAAAGTCTGTCCGGAAACTGGTCAGCAGCTCTGATTGGTCGACGTAGTAGTTATATTGTTTTACCTTACATTGTTTACGAATGACAGATGAAAGACAAGAGGCCACAAAGGTCAAATGTGGACGTGATGAATCTGCTACAAAACAGTCAATATTCTAGGAATATACACTCTAAATCAGAAAGATCTGTTTTATCCTAAAAACAGGGCCGTTTCGGTGAGTAAAATACAGTACTATTTTTGGGTCTAATTTGGCTCCCTTAAATCAGGGCCAATACAGTCCAATTAGCTAGGGCTGAAATGGGCCCTGCCGTGGGCTGGAATAGCCTTTTGATAGAGCTTTATTGGCCTAAACTGTGCTCAAATGGCTCCAAGAAGGGCTGAATCAGACTTTGGCCTGCAGGGCTGAATTGACACTTTGGGGCTGAAACAGATCTTTTTAATTTACAGTGTATTCTTCTGGAGAAAAAGCATCTGAGTTTTGCTGGAACGCTTTCGCAAAAGATCACAAAACTTTACCATAATCTTCCGGGGAAACATATTTAATATCAAACGAATTTACGTTTAGAACCCCATCATTGCCAGATTTATTATGTAAACATTATTTTACGTCACTAGTATGGAATTTCTGTCGCTGAGTCGCAGACGTTCTACCTGACTTGTCATACCATGCACTATTAGACTGCAAAACAGTCCGTATTTTTGCGTATTTAAATACGCGCGCGCAGTCAAACAAAAGGTCTGGAACGAGGCTGAAAACGGAGAGCGACACTGGGGGGAGACGTTAAAAATTCTTCTCTCGTCTCACGCGCGCGTAAGACTCTTACGCCACGCTTTACCGGTTTTTTTACTGATTTTGAGAAAACAAATGACTGTTTTGCAGTCTAATGTACTGCTAATAGTGTGGAAGGTTTGAACTCAGGAGTCGTTTCATAACTAAGTTAGTTTGACCATGATAGTCTGTGTGAACATAGTCAGGAACTAACCTGAGATGAGGCCAAATTTTAGCGGTTCTCATACATTCTCATACATACATACCGCCGGAATGTTATTTTCAAAGCGAAACGAAATGTAAAATAGAGCCTGATCTCAGGTTATCTGGAACAGAACTTTTGTTGATGGCGACAGACGGTTCGAAAACCTGTGCGTTAGTCATCTTCAGAGTCAAAGTGAGTATAGTAATAATCTCTGGTTAGCAACTTGATTGGCCAATTGACAATTGACTAACTATACACGACTAAATGAATGTGGCAATAAATGGATCGAAACACAGTAATGACATTACGAGCCTTCATTACCAATAACATCGCGTCTTTACATATGTACTACTGTACTGCGCTACTTAGGACTACACGGCAATTACTTCCCTTCCATAATTTACTACTGACAGTTCTACGGTCTTTTATTTCGAAAACGCTACTTAGTTTTTTTTCCCATAGCACTCATTGAGAAGGAACCTATGACACTTAAACTGTCTGCAAACGAAAACAACTTCCAAAGGACTGACGAATTTCAGAAATTTAAAAACAGCGACAAAATAAGTTTACTATAAACAGAAATAGAAAAGACTTTGCAAAAACAAATTGACTGATACGATTTAATGTCAATTCTTACATTAAGATACTTCTGCGGATTAGGCATAGTTCATTTTCTTAATTTCTTACCCGTATTTCTCGCCAGGGTATGACAAGAGAAGAGAACTACGGATTAAAGCAGCCATTGATTTAGTCTACTAATCTAACCCGTGTCTAATAATGCTTCAACTAAGGAACTATGTGTCACTGAGCAGTCGTTCTTCTTCTGATCAGTTGGTTTGCTCGTGGTCATCCAAGTTGTTAATTAAAGCTAACATGCAGAATCCTGCATGAACATCAACATGTTCAGGGCCAAGTTTGTCGAGCTGGATAGCCAGAGCACGTTGCTGATACTCCTTGGCTTGCTCAAGGTCACTAAGATCCTTGTAAAGTGAAGCTAAGTTATTGTAGCTTGTTGCAACATCAACATGTTCTGGGCCGAGCTTGTCCAATCTAATCGCTAGAGCACGTTGCTGATACTCCTTGGCTTTCTCGAGGTCTCCTAGGTCCTGGTAAATTAAAGATAAGTTATTGTAGCTTGTTGCAACATCAACATGTTCAGGGCCAAGCTTGTCAAGTCTAATTGCTAGAGCACGTTGCTGATACTCCTTGGCTTGCTCGAGGTCACCTAGGCCCTGGTAAATTGAAGCCAAGTTATTGTAGCTTCTTGCAACATCAACATGTTCAGGGCCGAGCTTGTCCAGGTTAATCGCTAAAGCACGTTGCTGATACTCCTTGGCTTTCTCGAGGTCTCCAAGGTCCTGGTAAATTGAAGATAAGTTATTGTAGCTTGTTGCAACATCAACATGTTCCTTGCCGAGCTTGTCCAGTCTAATCGCTAGAGAACGTTGCTGATACTCCTTGGCTTGCTCGAGGTCACCTAGGTCCTGGTAAATTGAAGCCAAGTTATTGTAGCTTTTTGCAACATCAACATGTTCTGGGCCGAGCTTGTCCAGTCTAATCGCTAGAGCACGTTGCTGATACTCCTTGGCTTTCTCGAGGTCTCCTAGGGCCACGTAAATTAGAGACAAGTTATTGTAGCATGTTGCAACATCAACATGTTCAGGTCCGAGCTTGTCCAGTGTAATCGCTAGAGCACGTTCCTGGTACTCCTTGGCTTGCCCGAGGTCACCAAGATCCTGGTAAGTTGTAGCTAAGTTATTGTAGCTTGTTGCAACATCAACATGTTCAGGGCCGAGCTTCTCCAGGTTAATCGCTAAAGCACGTTGCTGATACTCCTTGGCTTGCTCGAGGTCTCCTAGGTCCTGGTAAATTAAAGAGAAGTTATTGTAGCTTGCTGCAACTAAAACATGTTCAGGGCCGAGCTTGTCCAGCTTAATCGTTAGAGCGCGTTGCTGATACTCCTTGGCTTGCCCGAGGTCACCTAGGTCCTGGTAAATTGAAACTAAGTTACTGTAGCTTGTTGCAACATCAACATGTTCAGGGCCAAGCTTGTCAAGTCTAATTGCTAGAGCACGTTGCTGGTACGTCTTGGCTTTATTGAGGTCACCTAGCTTCTGGTAAATTAAAGATAATATATTGTAGCGTACTTCAACATCAACATGTTCAGGGCTGAGGTCCAGTGTAATCAATAGACGTTGCTGGTACTTCTTGGCTGTCTCGAAGTCACCTAGGTAGTAGCAAATTAAACCTAACCTATTGTAGCTTCTTGCAACATCAACATGTTCTGGGCCGAGCTTTTCAAGCTGTACAGTGAGTGAATATTCAAAATATTTTTTTACCCCATTAAATTCACAATGCATTTCACAAATCTGTGCAAGCTTGTTCAGTTTTTCTGAAAAGTCTTTATCGTGACCTTGGAAAAAAATTTTCCTTGGCAAACACTTTGTCTGCCACGATAGCTATGGCCTTTAAATGTGGAACGAGACGCATGGTGTCCAGTCTCTTATTTAATTCTGGAACAGCTTCTATAAATTCGTCAAATGATGTAATAACGGCATTTACGAGCTGAGGTGTTTGACTGTCTGTAAAATTACTTATCGTAGTTTTGATCGCATCATGAACAACCTTGTGCACACGAATAAAGTAGCCACCTTGGTCGTATTCAAAAAGCAAAAGGGAGCATTTTCTTAACTTCATGCGTATTAGTTCCTTGTCCTCTTCTTGAAAGTTCTTGTGTACGTTAATGATATAATTAATTGCTACGTCCACGTTTAATTGTTCTGGTGCGCATAGGGACAGGAGGGTGAAAAGGTGCTTAAAAGTTCGTCGGATCTCGCTAATGTTTCTACGGCTAGCTTTATTGCTTTTGTCATTGACTTTGGGTAAATCGGGTTTGTGTATGCGAGTGTATCCTCCGTAGTTTCTCTTTTCCCAGTTTCTAACATCTTCATGTATTCGTTCCAGCTAAAATGCGTCGAAGCTTTGTCTTGTCGAACATCTTTGACAAAGACGGCAGGACCTGCTAAAGCAAGAGGTTGATAGTCTAGTTTTTGTGCCACTTTTCTCACTAGCTCGCTATCTTTTATTCCAGATACTTTAGCCAATAAAGAACAGGCATCGTCGGGTTCCATACCTTTGCTTGCTGAGATGTGATTACCAAAAGAGCCTTTTGGGGGTATTGATCTTATGTCCTGAGTTGTAATCAGCAACTGACCCCTTGCCCAAGCGTCGACTCCAACCTGTGGCAAAAGACCATCGCATGCACAGAGGACATGGTAGTGACATTGTCAACGACCAGTAGCCACGACGTATAACAGGTAATTTTTACAGTGATAAGCATCTTAAGATTGGCGATCTTTTCCTTTACATTCCAGTACTTTGAGCTGAGGGTTTCCATAACCGAATAGTCTGGACACTTTAAATGGCGAGCAAATGAGACGTACGACTCCAAGAGTGAATCTGGACTAGCTGCATTTAAGGTCATCACAAATAAAGAATTGCCTGGGATTTCTTTTACATCGTCAAAGACCCTCTTAGCTACGAGGCCAGCTAACTGTGATTTGCCACTTCCAGGATTCCCTGAGATGTACAGACAACTCAGCTGGTTGTCACTGGACTCTTTTAGCGCCCTCAGCTGCTGGGCTATTTCTGACACCTCGTGTTCACGACCACTGATATCATGTGAAGGTTTAGGAGGGAGAATACAAAACGATGGCGTTTCTTTCTGAAGCTGATCCTCAAGGACCTGACGTTGATCCTCTTTTTCTTGAACTTCTTGTTTAAGGTCATCAACCGTTTTGAGGATCTGTTGCAATTCTTCTGTCGGAAACGTTTTCTGATTTTTTAAATCTTGAATTTTGACAGTGTGAAGACCAAGCACTTAAAATGCCACCTCAACTTTGCTAACAGCATTCTGAAAATCTGTGTCGGAGAGACTACCTTGTTTCATATGGGCAAATTCTTCGTTCCTGAATTTTCTAAGACCATCCACATTCATCCTCACAGTTGCGCTAAGACTGGGCCCAACACTATCGGAGAAAAGAAGGGCGTAGAAAAGCATTGTGCAATCCCATTCTTCTCTGTTTCCGTTTTGCATGGTGGCTAAAAGATGGGCATTTCTTCTTTGGTTTCGGGCAGACTCTCCGCTATAAAAGTCCATTCCATTCCGAGGTTCGTCTTTCCATTCTCCTGTTGTTAATTTGTGCTGTTTGTCCCATTCTTGTTTAAAAATTTCTCGTAGGCCTTCGGCGAGAATATCAGTAGTTGCAAAACAAATTCTGAAGTAATTCAGCTGCTCTTTGGAGTATTCTTTGGGAAAGGCCATACTTGATGGACGTCTGGTCCTTGGAGCCTTTGGGAAAATAATCCCTTCTGTTAGCAAATCAACTCAAAGGACTAATTAATTTATACCAAAGAACCATAAAAGAAAACAAGGGGCACTTAAAACGAAAATAACTAACAAGAGTAGTGTTGAAATTACATTCTAATCTCCCGTTTCAAAAAAACTCTACAGTTCGATAACCTTCCTTTGACATTTAACAAAGCAACTTTAGCTTAAGCTATTAAACAAAAACTAAGAGAAGACTTGAAATTTGAATAGGACATCTAAAATGTCGTCATATCAATGACTTACAGCTCTCTTTCAATGCAGTCTCCCCACACTGTTATAATCGTCTTAATCATTTTCGACTAGTGGAAAATTCTTGCGTTCATGTGCTCCTCTCATACCGTACGACAATTTAAACACTGCCATTAAAAAATTTGAACGCCAAAAGTCGAGCTCCTTGCATTTTCCAGCTCTGTTATACAATTAGACAGAAAACCCAAACGACAAGTAAAGGGGTCTTAAAAATGAATATTTTGCTTAGAATTATAGGATAGAATGTGAGACTATCAGTTAGATATGTTAACCCTCCATCGTAAAGGGGTTGGGGTGGGGGGCTTGGATAGTTTTCCTGTTCCCAAGGGAAGTTTTCTGTAATTTTTAAACAATGATTATGACTATTAGAAACTCTTCTTTTTATTAGCCGTCAGTTTATTTGTAACAACAAATAGCTCAATTACCCCAACGAATAAGCTTTGACACCCTTTAACAAATTAACGGTCGATAGCTATGATTAGGAGATATGACGACATAAGTGATCGACGTTCACTGTGACGTCGTCATGTGCCTTAAAACAGATCCAAAGGAAGCCAAATGTCTTTATAAAATAACTAAGATAGTACGCGAGCTCAGATTGGCCGAGAAGAGTGTTTTCATGAGAGTATGTAAACATAGTTGCGGCGTCAAGTTGTTTGGCTTTTCGCGCGCTAATCACGCGAGCACGAATTTGAAAAAGTTTTCGAGTTCAAAACTCGACAAGTTTACTTTATTTACCCATTCCTTCGTCGGCTGAAACTTGGAAAATCGTTACAAACAAGGTGTGTTAATTTTTTTTCGCTTAAGCTGACATTTTAAGCGAGAAAAATCCGTATTTTGCAAAGTATCTTTTTGCAAAACAAGAACTGATTACGCGTGCAAGACTTCATGGACAAGATTTTGCGACTGGTAAGAATTTATCTTTTAATCAGTGCCATACAAAGAGTTCTGCTTTTTTTTCTCGGGAAAGTTATTTTATAAAAACAATAGAAAACGTTTTTCCGGTGTTTGCATAGCCTGATGTAAACACTCGAGGCGTTGGGAAAATTCTCGACAGTTATGCAAACCCTCGACTTCGTCTCAGGTCTGCATAACTGTCTCGAATTCTCCCAACCCCTCTCGTGTTTATATCAGGCTATGCAAACATGGAAAACGTTTTCTATTACTTATATATGTTGTGAGTTTTAACTAAGTTTTCAGTAAACCCCACAGTGTACAGGCATTTTTATTACAAAAAGTCCTTGTTTTCACTCTCCCCTGTCCTCTTATATCATATGATCTGTCGGCAATTTTGACTGACGTCATGGCTTCCCAGCTGCGTGATATCCCATATATATAGCAGACTCTAAGGGGTGACGAATGGTAATGGCGAGCATTCGCGAGCGTGCCGAACACGAGCAGAACACGAGCAGAAATAAAAAGAGTTGCTTTGCGAGCAGCGAGCAGTTTAGAGAGCACAACTCGCGAGCAGCGAGCACTTCTTATATTTTCCGTTTGCAGCAATCCATATATGGAAATCCTTTTCTTTAAAATAAAAATATTTTAAAACGGGGTTTTAATTTAGAGAGCACCAAGTTCTTTGAGGCTAGTTTGAGTGACACCTTATCGAGATCTAACCAATTACAGTCGCGTTTGATGCCAATGACGTCACATTTCCACTTGACTTCATCATGCACGTGTTCGTACGGATCAGAAAGCAAAGGTCACAAGAAGAACAACCATATGGAATAACCATACAGAGTGTTTTCACTCACGTGGCCCGCATCTATGCAAATTTCTTGGAACAAAAGAAAGCGTTTGCATTAGAAAAGAGTTCAACTCCCACAGGACTGGTTTGGGACACCAGCATGGCCGCCGTTCCATTGTTTTGGGACACCAATATGGCCGCCGTGACGTCATTTGAAAACACTCTATATAACCATATATAGCTAGATTAGCTAATTTATTAGTTATCGTTGTCATTTATCGCGTGCATTTCCACTGAATATTTATCGGAATTAAGCATCATACAGAATATCATTTACTTTAACCCAAAGAATTTACAAAATTTCGAGCAATAAACAAGAAAGCGAGCTTGCGAGCAACTGTAAAAATTTTGGGAGCACGAGCAAGCGAGCACTCGTTTAAATTTTGCGAGCAAATCGAGCAAAGGTAAAATTTTGCGAGCAGTTAAAAATTTTAATGGACCATTCATCACCCCTAATCTAGGTAACTCAAAGTCTGAAGAGACAGCGGAGAACTGGATCGAACTATTCGGCTAAGCCGAGTAGAAACGACTGAAACGTGAGGTGAATTTCAAGGAAAATGATGGGCCGTAAGGAGTTTAAAGGAGTTTAAAGGAACGACCTCGGGTAAGGAATTTGGAGCTTAATGAGCTCCTAAATGACCTTTTCCTTTTTCAACGTCTTCTGCTAATATGGCCTGTTTTAAATAGGATTCTCTTAATGCTTATAGCGCCCTGTACTGTACTGCAAGCTTAAACTTATTTTTACATTCCTTTGCATGAAAAACAGGCAACTCATTCGTCATGCTACAACTAGCGGACACACTAATGATAAAAAAATAGCCCCGGGGGGAGGGGTACTTCCTTATAAGGGCTTAATGGGGACGTGCGGCCAGCCAGGGTATGTTTTTCGGGATTTTTGTCTTAAACAGGGTATCGATTTTACCATTTTTTGTCTTAATCAGGGTATCGATTTTATCAATTTTTGTCTTAAACAGGGTATCTTTTCTTGGACGATAAACAGCCTGCGCGTATGTTCTACAAACTAAACTACAGCAAAATTTTCATTTATTTTCATGGTAAGTACTAGCCTGTTTGAGGCGTTCAGATGAGCGGAGAGTGGCACGAGTGTAGAGCAGAGAGAAAATAACAAGCGGGCGGGAATCGAAAAAGAAAGCAATATGTCAAGTGGCGTCTACATTTTCACTGTCAGCGTATTCGACCTACTCAGCTCTTTGACCCGCAGCTAATCATGTATTTCTTCTTCATATTACGACTAGTTAATTTTTTTTTTGGTAACCTGAAGCTTTAGGATGATGACGTGCTATGAAAGTTCAGCCACACATGTTTTTCGCATACCAGTTTTTTTGAACTATTGAGAATGTTTTAGCACCGTAAGCGATACCACTTCACAGTTACGACGCCAACAGGGTATAGAAGCACAATCATTTTTGTAAGGGAGGTCCCCCCGGGTTTTGCTGTCGACTGTTCCAGGGTGGGGTCGGACAAACGACACTAAGAGCCCAATTAAAAGGGCTCTTTCTTTTCCGTCACCTTCCTTTAAGATATCCGTTCAAAAATTCATATATTTTAAAGGAGAGCCTTATGAAAATATACATTGTTATGCAAAACAGCTTCCGTCAAGCCTGAACTGACCACACAATCAATGGAGAGGTCAAAAAGCTTGGCGAAACAGGATCAGGAACACGTCGCTTACATTCCTTTCACCACTTTTCGTATTTAGTGTCTTAGTCCATCTAAGAACAGTATCCCTTGTTCACCGCATTCTTAGCAGGATCATGAGTGCGATTCGGCGGGCTCGACATTTTGAACCATTGCTATATAGTGCTGTATATGGGCTGAAAATCAGAAAATTGTCTACACTTTACGTTTAGAGACAGTCTGTTATCTTTGGAAACATGGCAAGTTGACTAAAATACTCAACACTTAGTTAAAAAGAGCTATCATCTCATAACTATAGCGGCAAAAAGCCAAAAGGTTGCCAAATCGACGTCGTTTGAAACGTCAAATTATAGTACCTCTCTACCAAGACTGCGTCAAGCACTGCACCACTCGGATAGTCAGTTTTTGAAGTACTCTTAGCTACTCTTAATATCTTAAGGAACGGTTTTTACTACAAGTAGACACCCATACTTGCATTGATGTAAATGATGTACTTACTGCTGAGGACACAATAAATGCGTTGAGGTTTGAAGCAGTGGTGAAACAATTAGAAAAACACGTCGCTTGCGTAGACTTATGGATTTTGCTGTCTTGTTAAGAAATTCGTTCTAAATGAGGAGAGTATGGATATAAGTTACTTCAGGTCCAACACGGCTCAAACCATACCTTGTAAACATTGCTACGTACAGGCTAAACTTTGTTAAAAGTTTGTTTCCAAAAAACAGCTTATTTTCTTCGTCACCTCCTGGGCAAGGTAACTACGGACACTTAAGGTGACTCGACCCAGTCTTTTTTTGGGGGGTACCATCCTACTTTGAAGCTCTCTGGTATCCCCACCTTTACTTTTATCGTAAGTCTAACACATAGAATGGATAACATATAGATCAATCTACAATATAACATAAAATTTTTGGCGATCGGAGTAAATGTCACGTGGTTATAATGCCACGCCCCTTTGAGGTCTCAGTCGAAAATCTGCTGTTGTCGGCATTTTTTCGTGAAAATCTCTCGGCTACACATAGTACGCATTAGTGCCTTGCTCTGAACAGAGTTTCACCAAAATCGCAAAGACCCAATTCGAGAAATTCAGCGGTTTCCGAAATTTAGGTCATAA